AAGTGGGTGGGTCTTCAGAAACAGGAAGGGAGAACTACAGCGATCCTGTTGAGATGGGTGGGTTTCGACAGCGCATGTAGCTAACTGGGTCTTTTGCATGAGCTGGACTCTGCTGCCTTGTGCTGTGCTTTGTGCTCAAGGAAAAGCTTTGTAAAAAAAAAAAACTGTTCAAGCTTCACTGAGACATGTTAAAGAATTAATTACAAAGTAAAGCTGAAGGAGAAAATTAATTTTAGAAACATAAGAGGTTACTTTTCTTTTCCTCCCTTTTCTGGAGGTGGGGGAGGAACGGCAGTTATTTTCATTCTCATCCTGGGGGCAGAAGCTGGGAGCTGTCCAGTCGATAACCTGGCCATCAGAACAAGGTTTGTAATTAAAAGGTCAGTGACCTGGAAAGCTAGGGCCTCACTCTCAGGGCTTCTCAGTAATGACGGAGCTATTAAATTAAGACTGTTATGAAATCAATGCTAAAAAAGCTTTCATGGTAACGAGATTCCATTCAAGGACATGCAAACTGCCTCATGAAATGGACTTAAATTATAAAAAAGAAAAGTAATAAAAGAGAGTTAAATTGAAATCTGCGGAAGAATTCACTCCCCTTAAAATCCTCCGACACTAGGCAGTGCCCCTCAAGGTGATCCACTTGGGTTTCTGCAGTGGATTGTGTTTGGCAAAGAGATGGTTTAGCTGCTGGTGGGGGTTCAACTTCCAGGAATACAGGTGATTAGAAAAGGAACAGAAAGGAGTCAATTTTCTACAGGCGACTCCTGGAATCAAGACATTTGTTTCCTGGGAAGCACATATGCTTGGCCCTGCACTGCGTTAGAGCATTTAAAGCAGAACAAATTACTCGTCGCCGCTTTACAAGCGCCTCTAGAGTTCTCAACCTCCAGTTGCCTTCTAAGCTGACAACCACCCTCCAAATCTCTACCTTGCTGCTGTCATCGTGACTTGAATGACGCTGCAAAATGCTGCGTAGGACCACAGGGAAAGCTTCTGCATTAACTTGATTGCTACGAGCCAAGGTAATGAAACAGATTAATAGACCCAACATTTAAAAGGGCAAAACCTTCTCTGACCTCCCACTCACTCGCCAAAGAGGAGCTTGACTCCACTTGTAGGCAGGTTGTCTGTTGTGTTATGAGAACATCACCAGTCAACGTAAGAAGTCTTCTGAAGACAGTTGTTGACTCTCCAGCTTTCCAGATTGACTATTCTCCCCAGTGTAAACAGGAACCATAGTTTATCTACTTGAAATGCCCACTACCATTGCATTGGAACCTCTCCCAATCAGCAACGCATTTCTCCCAAATTTTTTCTCAGTCGAGAAGTCTTTCCACCTTCGTGTTTCAGAGAGATAAGTGACCTATCCAAGGTCACAAGGGACACTTATGGCAGAACAGGGATTTGAACTCACGTCTCTCATGTTCCAGGCTAGTACTTTAGCGGGTGAAGCTTCCCACCACTAGTGCCCCTGCTCCCATTCCCTCCCTAGTTGGAAACTACAGATTCAGAGAGCACAGCATTAAGTCATGTGAGCTACTAGATGGGTAGCAGAGCAGCACAGGACAGCCGAGGCACGACAGCTAAACAGCAGACATCTCTGCAAGGGTTCAAGCCCCCACATGCCATCTAATTCCTCCCAAGGCGCCACTGGTTCTCTGTGGCATTTCATCAACAAAACCAGATAGTTGGACAAAAACAAAAAACAAAAACAAAAAACTTTTTTTTTTTAAATTTCTTACAGATAGATATTCTGAAGGGAAACAGCTGTTTTCCCCCTTGATCTGAAGAAGATCATGATAAAAAAAAAAAGGAGGAAATGTCATAAATTACACAAAATGCCGGCGTAAGCTTCAAAGAAAATGATAAACGATTCTAATAACTTCATGTTTCTCATTAATGCCTCTGTATTTGGAAGTTTAGAAGTGCTCGAGACAACAGAGAAATCTCATCCAACTTCTGAAATACCTTCCGCATCCCTCCTATTGTCAACCTCACATCCCACGTGCCTAAAATATCAGACCACCAAATTCTTACCCTACCAGCAACAGGGAAAGTCTGCCCTGAATCCCACCGCTGCTGTTTCACAAGGCAACAAACACAATCCATCTGATGATCCTAAACTAACCTTCATTTCCCACTGAACTGACATGCACTACAGGGACCTCAATTTCTATATTAAATATTAAATAATATTAAAAGAGAAACAAAATTGGATTTGTCTTTTCAGGAAAGAGATGTTTATTAAAGGAAAAAAAAAGAGGTAAGATTATAATTCAAAGCAAGGCATCACTGCAAGTCCCAGAAGTGAAATTTCCTGGGCAAAGCTGAGACTGCAGTGGTGGGAGCTCCCACACAGCCAATATTTTAGTTCCATTCCCCATAGGCTTTCCTGCTGGAAGAGACTGACTGGAGGAGCTGAAAGCTTCCCCACGGGTAGAACATCGCCCCTTTGCTTACGGCTGTCACAGATAGTCAGTGGTCCTCACCTACTCTCTACAGTGACTTCTCCCAGAAGAAGCTGGAACCAAAGAAACAGTTAACCCCCCACGGAGAGGATGTATACACAAAGGGAATGCTGCCTACAGACAGCTAGTTCTGGTACCACCTCTGTCACTCTGCCAGGCTCATGTTAAACAGCATAACCACCTACAAATTGTGGATATATGCCCCGTACATCGTTGACTCTGTGTCTGTAAAACTCTTTGAAATCTTTACCGAAAGATGCTGTAGATTTGCAGAACAATTACAAATAAATACATATGCAGAACTTCTTCAGAGGCCGGGAGAAGATTCAGAGCTCTCTGCAAAGGGAAGTCCTGGTGGCATCTGGGTTACTGAGATTCAGGGAAGATAATGGACTGCTCCTTGGAGGGCCAATGGGAAGATCTCAGGGTCCAAATGGGATTGGAAACTGAATCCTATAGTTTCTTCTTCCTAAGCCCAGGACTGAAGCGACTGCAACATCTAGGGGCGGGAAAGAATTACGCCTGTTCCTTAGGGCATAAAGGGAGACTGCACATGTGCAACTTTTGCTATGGAGCACTGGCCAGAGGCGAGATGTGATCAGGTGGTCAACCACATGTAGTCACATTCCCAATGACTGCTGCAGACAGGCGTTGCTAGACCCCACTCTTCCCTGTTTCTTAATTTTCAGTTTCTAGATAAGCAATTAGTGCAAAGGGGAGGGGGGAAATTAACAAAAAGGAACAAACACTTCTACCAAACAGTTTCTGCTCTTCGGTAATTATTAGCCAAGTAATTCATAAGAAGTATTAGTCGGGCCACAGTGTCTCTCTGCTTCCCTCTCCCTACCCCTCCTCTTCTCCCAGTCAGGGATTTATTAAAATTAAACAGATTAGATGGAGCTCCTGATACTAAAAACTGCTCAGCGAAGCCTGCGGTGGGGAAGTGCAGAGCAAACACCAGAGACATTTGTCTCTAAATTGCTCTAAATACCTTCTGCAAATGAAATTCTAACCCAGCTGCGTTGAGAGAGAAAATGAGGAATAACTGGTCATTGTCAGCAGAGAAGATCAGGCGGTTATAATATTGCACGATATACTAGGGACTAAGGATCTCTCGGCAACAATAGATTTTGTATCAGGTTACCCCGGGTAATCAGCACAGCTTTTAGGCTCAGCTTTCCCCTGCTTCATTGCTTCGATGATAGAGTTGAAATCCCCAAGCTTTTATGATTAATTACTCCCCGTAGGTCCACATATTTCAAGGAAAAACTCATGGAGCAGAGCAGCCAACAAGCTCCAAATTTTAATGCCATCCTGATGGCAAGCGAGGGTAAAAACAATGCACCCAGCAGAATTATCCCTCTATGCTGGGATGCTCTGTAACCGGCACTGGGGTCAGCTAGCACCAGGACCACGTTCCAACTGATGTACCTGCAAAGCACTGTTTCTGGTGAGCTTGTTCAAACACAATCCCTCCCATTATACTCTTGCTGCTTTCAGGTCCAAGAAGAGCAGTGTGGTGCTTGTAAATGAACAATCTATCTTGTGCCATCAGATCTCAGGGATTTCACTAAATGATTCATATCTCCAACCCTGACAATATTTCAGGGGTTCCTTATTTTCCACAGCTCAAGATCTACAGCCACAGAATTCAAAGAACACTGCTGAATTTGTAATGTTAATATAAAAATGGGTCCTCACCCCCTCCCATGTACGAAGTTTGCAATTCTACCGCCCCACCAGCATCACTCAATCTACCTTTTCTGTTCTGTAGAGCATTACATTCAATCCAGGGCAAGACCTGCCTTTATTATCATCTACTTCAGCGCATACGTGGCACGGAATGATCTTGGATGGGCAGTCTGAACTGGAGTGAACTTCACCTGAAAGACACTAATGCGTAGCTAAGTTGCTGGCTTAAAACTTGAAGCCAAAGGAGAACCCCTGAGTTAGCTCCTTTATAAACAGAAGGGAAAACCTGTTACCAAGCTGTCATCAAAGCACAGTCCATCTGCCTGAGAAATACTGGATTTGTCAGGATCCGTTCTATCCCTGCTATCAAAATCCAGTCGCAGTTTGCCATTTCAGCCTGAAAATCAGGACCCCAAGACTGACCTTAACTTGACCTTGTTTAGTCTACCAGGTCCCTGTCCTTCACTCCTCTCCCCGACTCTTCTTCAGAAGCAGCTGACCTTTTAACCTGCAGCTGGTCATTCAAAAGCCAATGACATTAAGGAGGTAGAATTGACCAACTAGCCTGTAACTCTAAACTGCCCTCACTTCTGAGGACCTAAGTTGATAGTTAACCCTAAGATTCCCCAATACGTCTTCTATACATCATTCTACAATGCCACATCTGGGGCCAACATCACCTCTGACCTGCAGGGAGGAAAGTGAAGCTGCATTGCTCAGACTCCCCATAATTTCTCTCATGCAGGAGATACCTAATTTTCCACAGCAGTATCTTCTGGCCCACACCCCGACTCTAACTCTTGCCAAGAAGAGAGAATGAAATTGATGCCTCCATACCTTTCTTCTTAAGAAATGCTCTTCTGGTTGTCAGCGGACTCTGGCGGACCCGGGAGTTTTGTAGAAATTTCACTGCTGTTGCGATCTGATTAGGGTGAGGGGATTGGAGAAACAGAAGAGAGACAAGCTCTGAGTCAGGAACATGTAAAATCCTAATTCTAAACAACACACCCTGAACTAGAGCATCAAGCTATCAAATCCTGTACGAGATGTAGATGGGCTTCAGACAAAAGCTGATCCGACCTTGGGAAACGTTCATATCTGCAACTCCAGCTTGGAGAGAATGGTACAGATATTTCAACTAACAAAAATTTCTCCCCAGACCTCTTTTCCCAGAGGAAACTCTGTTTAGCTACGAGCAGAGTCTCTATTTGGATGCTCAGAGGTGACCAAGAATCAGGTTGTGCCATCCTTAGCTACGTGGACAAGCACAATCAGGAGTGATGAGGCATATCACTGAGGCATAACAGGTGGTTTGCAGCAGCTGAGATTGTTGCAGGGTGTTAGGAAAAAATTCAAGGGTCTGTTGCAAGTAAGGAGACAACCAGCGGTCCTCCACGCCAAGATGCAGTCTACTTGTCTACAGCTATCTGAGCACAAGAAAGGCAGATGACTTTTGATGTTTTAACCTTTGCCTAACCCAACGTCTCTGTTTGAATTCTAAGGGGCTGCTGCCATTTCTTCCACTGTGGTACCTACTGCAGGCAATAGGCAAGACCCTCTTGTCATTTGTAGGCAGGAGGTTATTTTCCATGTCCCCAGTCACAATGCCCTACCAAAGGCACCAAAAATTTTTGGTTTTAATTTCCAGCAATTTACCTGTACAAGTGTATGTTAGCCTTAAGCTTCACTGTGGTGGACTGCACATGAAACTCTGAACTAAGGAATGTAATTTCACCAACATGCTCTAGAACAGGGATATCAAACTTATCTGCCTTCCCAGCCCGAGGATATGGAGGGGCACAGAGCTGGTCCATGGGCCAAATCAGACCTACAGACCACCCCCGCACGCTGGAGCCAGTGCACAGAGGTGGTCTGGTGCAGGCGCCACGTGCAGCATGCACCCCAAACTGGCCCTGTACCAAGCATGAAGTGCATGCCCCAGACCAATCCAAGACACGCAGCGAGGACTGCAGGTTGGATGATAGGGTTCTGCGGGCCGGATCCAGCCTGTTGACCGTATCTTTGACACCTCAGAAGAGGAACTTTGAGGTAACTTAGGACTCAGGACCCATACAGCCCTACAGAGTGAAAGAGCTGGAATGATGCTGACTGGCACACACAATAGTTGCATTCTCTTAAAGTGAGTTTAGTGCCAGCAAGAGGTGATGATTCCTCTCTATCCACAGAGAGGTAACAGGACAAATTCCTGCAGATACTCTTGTCCTCCTCCTCCCTTCCTTGAGGAATCACCTTTAAGGATGACAGAGTTCACTTCCCATGGCCCTGGTCTTCTAACGGGATTATAAACAAGGAGGCCTATTTGTGACTGATAACTGTAATGGTCCTGCTGGTGAAGTGGGCAGAGCTGAGGCCACCAACTCCTTTCACACAGTCTGCTGAGCACAGTAACTTCGGGTCCATGCCACTCGGGACTAAATTTAATCTAGGGACCACTTTCCATGTCCCATTATTAAATCCAAGCCGTCCTGTCCCATACATGGTATCTCCTTCTGTGCTGGGGTAAACAGCTAATATGCTTTTATAAAAAGGCAACTGCTTTGGATGGAGCACAGAGGAGAATAACCAGCCTGAAGCAAACAATACTTAGGAGGTATACACATCTATATGAACAGGTGAGAGATCACTTCATCCCAGTTTAGTAGAAAATGGACCTCCATAAATAAGGGGGAGAAGGGGGTTTTTTTCCCATCCCTGAAAGACGGCATCTGTATTCCCGGTAAGCTATGGTAGGTGTCAGAGAAGGAAAGAAAGGATTTGCAGGTCTCCTGGAGTTCAAGCTACAATGAAGCTTCTCGAATTTAGATCTCGATAGGCTTTCAAAATGTTCCATGGTAAAAAGGGAAAAAAAAAATAGAACACACATATTGAAATGACCAAGTTCCACCTTGTTTTTGAATCCAGCCCTTGAAATATGCATTTCTGGTCAGAGAGCAAAGTTCTGATGGGTTTAATGGCACTTTCAATGTACTCAGTGCATTCCATCAATGTTGTGTTGTTTTTTTTTTTTTTAAATTGCATCTCTTATTTCTTTAAATACATTAATCAGGCTAGTGTAGGCAAAACGGATCCATTGGACAATGCAATAAACATGAATTATCATCTATCCAACACGCATAATGGCTTAAAAATACATAATAGCAGGTGTAGTTTAAATGATTAGTTATTACACCTGTGGTGGGTCTGATTCAATTGGGGAAAATCATCTTTAATAGGTTAAAAGGTTTAGATCACCAGGCTTCCCTTAAAGTGGCTGTAGAGAGGGTATGATGGAGTACGCTGTCATTACTAATTCATTTAAGAAAAACGTGGGGGATACAGCAAAGAACAGCATAAACGAGCGAATCCAATTTAAACATCAGGTAAAGCAGAAAACACCTTTTAAAAAAGCATGATAAATGAATTTGGAGGGGAGATGAAATTGACATATTTATTTTAACGGGAATTTGACAAAGTCCCGGCATACTTTCAAGTTGGGGAAAAATGAGCAGAGGGGGGTGGGTTTTTTTTTTTTTTTTTTTTGGTAAGTTTACATTCAATAATTTTCAGTCATAAAGTAATACAGCAGAATACCCCACATAAAGTACATTTTCATCTCATTTACGTGCACTTGATCTGTCTCTTTGGAAATGCAGGCGATAGGCAAATCACACATTTAAACGGTACTGACATCACTAAGCCAGATGCGAAAACATAAAGCGCACCAACTAATAACTTTAGGATAATGTGCTGAATAAGAAAAAATGCCCAAATAAGCAGACACGTAGATGTGTGAACATATCAAAACACTTTCCTTTTTACAATAATTCCTTGTTTCTTTGGGAACTCTTGCAGGCTCCCTCCTGCATTCAGCAAACTAGTAACAGAGGCAAGCAGCATAAAAGGTTTGGAGACCTGAAATTCTATAAGGTCTAAGATTCATACATGAATGTTACCAATTTTTTTTTTTTAATCTGTAAGATATAATGCCATACTTTTTTCTTGTGTCATTTTAAACAGAACCGTTTTAATGTTCTATTGATTGTCACTGTTTATTGGAACACACTTTTGTTTGGAAAAAATGTAAACATTTCAAGATGATTCATTTAAAAAAAATAAATCTCCCCTTCAAGGATTAAATTGTTTAAGCTCTTTCCTGTATCATTCTTCTTCTCTTCCCTTAAAGGTCATAAATATAAAACAAAATAAAATGACCAGCCAGCAGCAAACTTTACAAAAAAACAAGTCCCCAAATTGTTAATTCCTTTTCAGAGTCTCACGTTCCTTTAATCTATGTCTGCCTCAAGAGCTCTCCCCACTTGTTCACCTGAAATATCTTTATTTGGGTAATACAGCTTCTTTATATAAATGACTTATGAAATCATTTTGGATAGGTCAGCGTGCCAATCTTTTAAAAAACAGCACATGAGGATGTTCTATCTTCTAAGGATTCTCTTTGCACAAACAAGGGCGAATGCAGTCCTTTAAAAGGAAAAAAAAAAAAAAAAAAAAGCCCCACTTTGCAGTCCTGGGTATAGATGAAAAATCATGCAGCAAATAGAATTCTGACTCAGCTGGTAACTTATTGTTCCATACTATTTCTGTAACATTTGTAACACTTGACCAAATTTTTCTAGCATTAGGACACTGCCAAGCTGTGTGCATCACCTCACCCCTCTTATATCAGATTGCAAGCTCATAGTAGCCAAGAGACCACATTTACCCATCTGATCACAGTCATTTATTATTTTTAATGAAAAAATATTGTGTTCAGTTGTTAAAAGGGAATTAACTCCCTAAACTTGCTATCCTACCAGCCCTTCTGCATCGAGGGAACGATACGGAGACACACTCTTGAATGGCAATAGCGAGGGGAGAACCCTGCATTAGATCTTGCCTAATCATTTGATTTTCTAATTAGAAGATGAATGCGACTATTCATGGGTTATATTTGTGCCTGGCCAAATTACATAAATTCAGGCCAAATATTCCGCCTCAGCGTCAGAGAGGTAAAACGGAGACAGGAACTTTATTGCAGGTGCTGTGAGAGTGTAACAAGCTGGGGAAATTCTGGGCCAAAGCACTGTATTTTGACATTGCAGCCAAGGTCCCTCACCCCCAAACTGCTTCTCGCTAGCGTTTGTGAGGAAGGTGAGGTCAGCCCTCATTGTTATTACATTCTCAGAAACAGGGCTGTTACCCAAGGAACCCAAGCTGCTTATTCAGCTGCTTGCAGGAACAAAGTAAACCACTTGTATTCAGAAGAACAAACGCAGGGACAAGTGCTTGTGTCCCCCACATCCAGGGGGAAAGGAAAGAAGAAAATCAGCCTGAACATTCACAACTATGCAGGCAGACGAAGAGAGAGAACCGAGAGCCGTCAGGGGTGCAGTGAATGAGAGCTCCGTTAGATTCCCTAACCCTGGGAACCCTCGGTGGGATATTATGGAACAGCATTTGTTGACAGAGTGAGACTTCAGGATGACCTGTGAACTAAAGGTTGGGTCTGAATTACATGCTGCAAGAGGTGATATTTTGTCTCTCTGAGCAGATCTGTCTGTTTAAATGCAACGCTTCTTTTCATTAAGCGCAGGCGGCACAGGCCATGAACTATGCACAGACAGTTTACATTACACGTGCGGAAGCAATCAACACTAGCAGTATATACGATGTATGTAAAAGAAGTTGAAATTAATTTTTTTTCAAGTGTATTAACAAAAATAATATGGAAACAACAAGAAAAGCCCAATCAATTTTAGCCAGGGTAAAAAGCCATGGCTACAGGGCAAATGGACTGATCAATACATTAGCCTCTTGCAACACGCCCCCCTGCCCCCCCCCCAGCATACAGCTCTACGTTTGCAAGGCTCGGAAGATTAAATTGTCTGTGAAAGGTTTCTGTACTCCTACTCCAAAGGAGATACC